ATATGAGATAAATTACTCGTTTAACTATGATTCGTCGAATGTGGTGTATCTGTTAGAGTGCAATGTTTGTGGTGTGCAGTATGTTGGTAGCACTAACACGACCTTTAGATTAAGGTTTAATAACTATAAGGCATGTAATCGTAAGTTTAGTCAGGGATCCTCAGTACCTCAGGCGGAATTTTTCAGGCACTTTTCTGGAGAAGGCCACCGGGAGTTTCTGCAGGATATAAGGGTTAGTATAATTGATAGGCTTACTGGCGGGAATAGGATGCGAGAAAGCTTCTGGCAGTATAAGCTAGACAGTTTTTCTCCAAATTGCTTAAACACTTGGGCTATCTTTTTGCATGCAATTTTTTTGTCTTTTTTTTCTCTTTTATTATTTCTTGTCTCTTTTTTTCCCTCCTGCCACTAGCACATGTTTTTTTACGTTCTTTACGTCTCTTTTATTCTTAAACAGGTGTTCTTTTCTGCTACACATTTCATTTGAGCCCCCGTGAGACTTGCATTGCCGCCTACTTTAGCAGCACCTTCTTCTGTGCTTTCTTCTAACCCTCCCATTAAGTTACACTTTTAACAATAACTATTGTGATAGTCAATTTTCCTTTAACTTCCTCATTGTATTCACTTTATTGCACCAACTCTATCGTATTAATTCTATTGTATTGATTTTGTATATGTTAGCTCCATTTGATTTGTAAAGTATTACTGATGAAGACTTCGGTCGAAATGTTTAAGCGATAGTGTTTTTTTCTGAATAGCTATATTATTTTTATTACACTCGGTGCATGAGCTTTTGAAAGTATATATATATATATATATATATATATATATATATATTATATATATATAGTCATAGATCATGAAGAAAGTAAAACTACACTGGTTTATCTCTACAAGCCTGTTTCGTGAGTAACCACTTTCATTGAGTATTGAAGACATTTCATGCATAAAGAGCCTTCTGAGTTCTATCCATGCCGGGGATAGACAAACTATGTGAAATGTTACAAACAGATTTTTAGAGTAATCTTATAGTGTAAGCAATGTGCTGGTTGAATGCATGTATAGTTTCGTCACAAACAGTTTCATATTTTCGAAAATTAGATATAGAATGAATCTACATGGATAATTGATATGAAACCTAGTATTTGGATAGTCTTAACAGATTTCTTAAAAGCTCTTCACTGGTAGAATCGATATAAACTATCAAATTACATCGTAATTTTCGAACTGTTAAATTTCTATTCCGAGTATATCTTGACATAGTTTCATAGAGAAAAATTGCACATTCATTACAATAGTGAATAAATCAAGAGTTTTTTGATTTCATATACAAAATCAGAAATCTAAGTTTACTTGTACGGGTGAGATTTTACAAAAAACTATAACTAAGGAACTAGAAAAAGTCAAAATTATAAATTAAAAATCCAACCACATCAGAAAAACAAGTTTTTGAACATTTAAAAACATTTGAGTTCTCTAATGCCGATTGAAGTTTGAAATTACAAAGTTTTTAAGGAAAGTTTTTAAGCTGCATTTGAAAACAAACATTTCAATTGTAAATAAAACATGAACCAGATAATTTGGAACAACTGCTGACCATATTTTGAACTCGCCGTACCTATATATCAAGAGTAGAATCATTTTCAAGAATGTTAAAAATTTCTCGACTTTTCCAAGTGTAATCGTTTTCTGACGTGATTAGAGAGAATAACTTCAGCCATTATCACACAATAGATAAATCAAGATTTTTTGTTTCAGATACAAAATCATAAATCTAAGGGAGTTTACTTGTTAACTAGGTTTGAGATTTATTCAACAACTAAATGACTTTTTATATCTTCGGAACAAAACTAAAGGAAACAGGAAAATTCACAATTAGAAATTAAAAAGTCAACCACACCAAAGAAAAATCAACAGTATGTTTTAGTATAAAAGCGAAGAAAT